AATATATACTATTGTTTTATAATTTACATAGTTTTGATGTAAAGGGTTCTAAAAAAAATTGTTACAATACTGACGTAGAGGTTAAGTACAAGATCAAAATGAGCATGCGCTTATGTCGCTTCTCTTTCCCCCTTCCCGCAACTCCGTTACTATTCTGATTTCCAGTTCGCGTTTGTTGCCCGTGAAGGATGCCTTCTGCCAACCCTAAACTAGAAAAACAGGCCTCTACGGAGACCGTAGAACCTATACGCCAAGCAATTATCGTTATCGAGCATAAGATACGGAATCTTGAAAAGCGTAAGGTAAGTACTTGTATAATATATACGTAAATAACGACAAGAAAATTATCTGTCAGTTGATAGCTTTTACGGTGCAATCCGCCATGATTGGATACGCCATGTGCTCACGCTTGAGATTTCATAGGTATCTGATGATTATATTATGATGAATTAACCCTTGTTATTACATTTTCGTATTGAATCTTTTTCATTTAAGTTGAATTAAAGCAAAATTAATTTTTTTCCTACGATCGAACACCTAAATTCCCAATCGTGAACCTCGTGTCATGGCGGTATCTTCTAAAGATGTGCACAAAACTTTACGTGACACGCTTACGAGCCGCTACCGGTAAATTACATTGTGTAATGATATCTTTTGTTTAATATAATGTTAAAAATCTAAATATGAAATTCAAATACATGTATTACGTTTTAATGTGTAAGAAATTCTTTATTTGCCCTCGTTTATAGTACTTGCGTGAATCAGTTTTCTGGAACCATACAACACTATAAGAAATTATGAACCAAATTTAGTTTCTTTTTTACATAAAGAGTAGATCCATATGTAAATTTTTATTTAAAGTTAACAATTATTTAGACGTAACATTTTTTTATGTATATTATCGTTATTTTAAATTATGTATATGTATGCGCACACACACGCGTGTATATATAGGGCATATGTAATATGATGTATGATGTATATCACTGGAAAATAATAATAAATTGATATTTTTTGTATAAATTACTTTTATTTATTTATGTGTGAGCGCGCCTGTGCCCTTATATACATTTTTTAAATAGTATATGATATGGTTATATTGTATATGATATGCTTAGTATATGATATGCTTGTATTATATACATATGTATTATATGCATATAATAATTTTCCATTATATATGATTAATTTTATTGTTTATATTATTATATTTTAGAAATACAGTAAAATTAATAGCATGTGTTACATTTAGGGAAAATTAGAATCATATAGGGATCTGCAGAAGAATGGAAGGGAACTAAATGCAGATCAGAAAACAGCAGTAGCCAAATATGACGAGGTATTACAAACATTGGATATTACGAAGGAACTGTATAAGCAAATTGTTGGAATTGCACATGATGCAGTCAAACAGCAAAAAAAGTTGGCAAGGAAGGAAGCTATTGAAAGAATGCAACAAGATATTGCAAAGGTATAACTTAAGTATGATTTTATAATATAAGTAACTTGTATCAGTCTATTAAATGTTTGCAATATTTACTAATTATCTTAGGTGAGAGAAGTTCTTCTTATACAAGATGCACTAATGAACATGGGTACAGAATCTGTTAGAGAAGATTTTCTTGCTGGAAAAAATGGAGCTGTAAAATTATCAGAAGAGGATTTAAAATATTTAGACAGCTTGTATAATGAAGTTATGATGAAACATCATAGAGAAGAAAGTGAACCAACATTCCTTCAACAAGTGCAGAAAGTAGCAGAACATTATGTAGCCATTGTTGATGGAAAACAAAGAGAGGTTGTTGGTACAACTTATAACAAACTAAAGGAAATTATTACTTCCATTAATCAGTGTGGCTATTTTGATCAAGTTCATGAAACTGAAGCTGTAGTAGAAGAAGTAAGTCAAGCATATTTACGTATTTTTGACATTTTAATGATTAATTTATGTAAAACAAGATATAATTAAACAAATGAAAAATGTATTAAAAAGTATTTCATTAAATTCTTCACAGGTTACAGAGGCAATTGCAGAAACACAAATATCTGAAACACCTGTGCAAGATCAAGTCAATGAAGAATATAATACCAATGACAGACACATTCCACCTGAATCCATGATTCCAATTCCTAACTTCCCAGTACAAGTCGCTCCGCTCCCTGTTGTTTCTGGCACTACACCAGTTTCTGGTCCCATTCCTGTAGTTGCACAACCCATTCCACATCCAGCTGCACCAGTTGAAACATCTTACTATACAAATGCAACAGGATTTGTTCCACAACCGCAACCACAAGCCCAACAAGCTCAACAACAACCACCACAAGCTCCTAGAATTAATGACGTTATAGGCACACCAAATTTCTTTTTCTTGCAAGAATCCGAACTTGATTCACCAGATGTTACATCACAAGCACCGATTGTTTCTCACATTCCTGCTGCTGTTAACACACCTATTCCTTCGCAGACATTTACAAATCAAAACTTTGCAAATGCACCGGTAGTAGCACAGCCAGTCATATATCAACATCAACCACCACAGGATATGTCCCACATTCCTGGATTTGCTAATCCTAACCCACCTCCACCTATTCCAATGCCACCCTCTCATCAGCAACCAAATATGCAGTACAGTCCTCAGCATCCTACTAATTTTCAACAGCAACCCCAACAACAGCAGCAGCAACAACCACAGCAACAAGCTCCTTCACAACAGATAACACAACAAGCGCAAAACCAGAATTTTGAGCATCAACAAGAAAGCCAACAACAATCTGCTGAAGTATATTACAAATATTATATTACCAGTAATAAAACATATCATATTTTATAATAATCAGAATACTAAAATACTAGTCTTTTCCAGGAAAAAGTTGAAGAAAATCAAGATGAAACAACAACAGCACCAGAATCAGAAATTGAACAACCTACTGAATCTGTTGATTGGTGCCAGATGGCTGAAACTAACGATTGGAATCAGACAGATCAATCACAACAATCTGCTCAAGATTCACAACAGACACAACAACAAACATCTCAGCAAACTTGGGGTGATCAACAACGTAGTGGGTATAGAGGTAGAGGTGGAAGAAGAGGCAATTCTAATGGTTACAATGGAAGAGGTAGGGGCGGTTATCAACAAAATGGACGCGGAGGACAAGGTATAAAATATTAATATTATTATTAGACGACAAAATTTAATACATTTGATTAAATAATAATTTTATACTTAGGAACATACTATCGTAATGATAGCAACTATCAAAATGGTTATCAACAACGATCTTGGGGAAATAGCGAGGGAAATAGCGGTTATAATTCTGGTTATAAAAGAGGTGGTGGCGGATCAAGAGGTGGAGGTCCACGAGGTGAGCGTGGTATGGATAGAGGTGGTCGAGGACAGTTTCGCGGCCAAAGGGGTGGGAATCGTGGCGGTTATGCGCCTCGTGGTAAACCCCATACGCAGCAGTAATAAAAATGCGATAGAATAATACACAGTGAAACAAATAATGTTGTAAGATCATAATTCAATTGTCTATTTACGAAAAAACCTAAGTCGTATCCTTAATACGTACAAATACTTTGAAAAAATAATGCACCGAATCGTATACACGAATTTTAGTATGTAAAGTAGCAATTTCAACGTTCCAGATCGTTATTTGATAGACCTTGTAAATGATTAATTAATTATATTCATACATATTAAGTAAATAATATTAAGTAAAAATATTGATACTTATATAAGTTTACATTTTTAAAATGTTGCATTTAATTGATGTGATAAGAAAGATTGATTTTGGGAAAAAGATATTTTGGTACATTTGTTTGCGGCTTAGGATATTTCCTAAATGAGACATTGAATACAAAAATTTTGCATTTGAATTTGGTATCCACAATTATCAAAAGAAAGATCTATTAACATTAATGAAAAAGTTATACAGACGTAACATTGTGATATAAGAAAAGATCAACCAAATTTAGAAGCGTGAACCCACCATGCAAGTATTATTGTGTTGTGACAGAAGGCAGTTTTCACAGGGCAACAACAGCTGATCAACAAAGATTAGAAAAATAATTTTATTATAAAAAATATAAAAAAAAATGAGAACTCATACAAGCATTTCACGCAAAGACACAAGGATGTATTTAACGAATAACGTTAAAATGATTACACAAATAGATGAACTGCACGACCATCTCTTTGTCTTGCGGCGCATCGTTCTAGAGAATTTTTTAAGATACCAGAAAAAAGAGGATACAGTGAGCAATGCCTTCTAGTACTATATATCTTCTTGACTTCATATTCCATTTTCGGTCTATGAATCTGTGAAGTATTTAGAAAGTTAAAGTTGTCGAGATTTAGTAGTTGGGAAAATGAAAGATTAACGTAATACATGAATACACAAAAATGATTTTCATGAAACGTGTTTCATGATTGCTACTGATTACGTCGCTCCCTCTTCTGTTTTTTCTGTGTGATTCCAAAATTCTATACGGTCGCCTACGCAGCTGGCCAAGTAAAAGAGATTGCAGTGCAATGTCAAGTTTATGAAGCAACATTACCTGATTTTTTTATCGCAAAATATATATGATTATTTTTAAAAATAAAAAAAGCGATAGTGCGGAGCTTTAGCATGTAAGTTGAGTGTACAATTACTGACTAGAGGCAAAGAAAGCGCATTTGAAGAGTGCGCTATTGACAAAAGCCACGCTCACACCGCCAAACACGTGATGAGGAGTACCGTATTGTATTTCGTTTGTATATTTGTGTTTAATCACCTCCATCTACAGTTATGTTCAACTATCCTATGAATACCTATGTATCTTCCAAATAAAGATCTAATTCAACCCTGCTAACTAGCCTACCTATCGTACTCATTGTCAACATGAGAATCGTTTCATTCTTCAGCTTGTTCTCAAATAAAAAAATCGAATAAAGTATTTGATTAATCATATTTTATTAACAGTGTGTACTCTTTGTTGCTTTCTCTTTTTGTTTTTCGCTTTAAATAAAATTATGGAATATTCATATTATTGTTTTGGGACGTACTGTTATTGTAACTGAAGTAACTATTTGAATTTCGCGCTTTCCAATGCCCGAGTGACAGTACTTTAACTGATTAACGTAGTGAAAATTCGTTTCAAATTAAACATGGTTAAAATCTTGTAATATTTGATATATTACATTTAAGTTGATATATAGTGTTTGTGCAAAATATTATATCTCAATATTTATAATAGAATTGTATATACATATTTTATATATTGCGGATATAACAAAATGCAAGTGCATCTATAAAACAATTATAATACGGTTATAACGATAATCAATGTGATTAAACAGAGGTAATCACGTTTTCATGTTTTTTTTTAAATTCATTAAGATTGAATAAATTATATTTAAAGTATACGTATTATTATTAAGACAATATATATAGTATTGAATACTTTATATGTACGCTAATTAGTGCATTTAGGTTAAGGATATTAATAATTTTTCTAATACTATGTGAAAATATTTTGTTAGAATTTTACACAATTTATTTATTGTATTAGAACGATGATCAGAACTGCTTGCGATCCTACAATAGAAAAACACTTTAAAGGCCATGAAAATACTATCACAAGCTTATGTTTCCATCCTGAAACTACTCAATTAGTATCAAGTAGTTCAGACAAAAGTATAATATTATGGAATTTGAAAGAGTCTGTGAGAGCTTGCAGATTCCTTGGGCATAAAGATGTAGTTTTTGATGTCACTTATGCACCATCAGGCGAAGTCATAGCTAGTGCTTCCAAAGATAGATCTGTTAGAATTTGGGTACCTAAAATAACAGGACAATGCTTAGATTTTAAAGCACATTCAGGAGCTGTTAGATCAGTACAATTTAGTCCAGATGGGGAAAAGGTACTTATATTTTATATGATGATAGAAATGGTAACTTACTTTAATACATATTTAAATTTATATACATATATGTATGTTTTTATAAATAGTTAATTACTGCATCAGATGACAAAAGTGTTAAATTATGGATGGTATGTCAAAGAAGATTTCTTATGTCATTTACATGTCACACAAGCTGGGTCAGATGTGCTAGATTTTCTTCTGATGGTAGACTTATAGTCTCTTGTAGTGATGATAAAACAATAAAATTATGGGATGTCACGAGTGGACAATGTATTAGAACCTTTAATGATGTAAAAGGTATATCCTATATTTATATTAAAAGCTATTAGAAACTATTAGTTTTTCTTTCTTTTTTTCTATGCATGTTTAAAAAATGTATTATATTCTATTAAAAATGTTTAAAGACAAGTTCTCAAACATCTTTACTAGCTTATTCTACACATGTGGAATTTCACCCAAGTGGTTCTGTTATTGGATCAGCAAACATAATTGGCTGTGTGAAATTATATGATGTACGTACTGCTTCTTTATATCAACATTATGCAACTCATAAAGATTCAGTAAATATGATAAAATTTCACCCAAAAGGAAACTTCATATTAACTGCATCTGATGATTCAACAATGAAGGTATATTGGATTCTTTTTTATAATAATAATTAATTTAATAACATTTTTATATTGCATTTATTAAAAGCTATAAAATAGGTTTTAGATTTATTAGAGGGTCGCCCAATTTATACACTTAAAGGTCATGCAAATGGTACTGGTGTAACATCAGTAACATTCTCTTCTAATGGAGAATTTTTTGCCTCTGGTGGTACAGATCATCAATTATTAATGTGGAAAACAAATTTTGATAAAGATGATGTTGCTAGAAAAATGTCTCGGCATTTAGTTTCACCTGTTAAAGAATCAGAATCAAATATGAAGGAAGAAAAATCACATAAAGATGATGATATATCTGGAGGAGAGGAAGAAGTAGAAGTAACTATTATTTTGAGATTTACAATCTATTCATATAATATTTTATAACTTAAAACATTTTATTGTTTTAGTCATTACATGAGAAATTTGATACTATAAATTTAAAAAATGGAAAACTTCGTTGTGAAGTACCAGATACTGGAGTATTAGATGGCAATATAGAATATAAAGTCATAAATATGAGAAATCAAAGACCTTTTGAAGAAGGGCGTATTGTGAATATATCACACTTACCTAAAGAATCACCTGGTACATGTTCTAGTAAAATAGTAGATGCACTTAATGAGCAAGTACAATCATTAAGTGATGCTGTTACCATTTTAGAACAACGTTTGTCAATACTAGAAGAAGAATTAAGAAAATAACATTTTGTATTTTATTTATGAAGTTATTCAATTATATAATTAAATAGTAAATATTTGTAAGATATATATTTAAATTGTACTTAATATGTATCTTTTAAGGTTAATTATTTCAAAATATAATATAAATTTTTAAATTGATTTATTAGTACAGTGTTATAAAGATGAATTTTAGGTATACCCTTTTTGTAAAATTTGAGATTTTAATGTAAAAAGCTACATACAATACAATAATTTTGTACAAGAACGAAAATACAAATTTTAATATAACAAAAAGTAACATTAAATCTATAATACAATTATTTTTTTATTCCTAAAAATTGACATGACTTTCCAGTTTTCTTAATAACTTGTAATATTTCATCAGAAGGAAGCGCAGATGTTACAGACACCTTGTTTCCTTGTAGATCTACTTGCACATTGTTAATACCTAAAAATAAATTCTAAATTAAGCAATTTTTTAATGCAATAACATTTCCATATGTTTTTGGTATTTGACATTCTTTATCATACAATTTAAATTAATTATTATGTTTAGTAAGAAAAAAATTAAAAAGTAAAATACTACCAAATTTAAGTAAAATATATAAATATGTAATAAACTTGAAACCATACCTTCCTTCTTATTAAGTACATTTGTTACAGCGGTGGCACATCCTTCACATGTCATTTCTACATTAAATTCGTGCACCTTAAATTTGTATTGTTTAACTAATATGCTATTAATAGTAAATTAAAAATTTAATTATTATAATTAGTAATTTCATTACCTGAGATGCCATACTGATAATCGTTTGTATTTGTTAAATCAACCTAGCACGATATATCAATTGTATGATTGTGTACTGTATCGCAAACAGAAACGAGCCTTTTTTATTGAACCGGAAATAACTCTTATCTAGTACTTAAAATGATAATATAATAGCAGTAGCTATTGGATGTTTAACAAGTATTCAGAGAATTACTTGTTTTCAATGACGTACTTATAACAATGGCTGGTGTTATTTTTATTAACCTATATGACTAATGCTAAATACCATAATAAAAAATAATTTTTTCATTTCAATAATAATATATTTCTTTATACAAGAATTACACGTGATTTAATTGACAGAACATAGATATATTTTGCAATTTTTCAAATAAAAAGGTTAATCTGCGGATGATAAATCTGGATTACCATAAAATATTTACCTAAAAGTTTACTAAGAAAAACACGACTTCTTTAATAATAAAATGCATTAAAAATATGTATCATAATTAAATAATTTAATTTTTATGCTTTTTTGTTTATGAAAATTTAACATGTTTTCATACATATGTATTCTAGTAATAAATTCAGTTCAATCACTTCAAAGTTTAAATGTAATCTTATTAAGTACACCATTTTTTTAAATATTGAACTGTTTTTATTAAAGATAGATACTTTTTCTCTCTTTCTCTCCCTCTCTTAAAAGTTCATATTTAGTATCAATATAAGTATTAATATAATCATACATTTATCTATAATTTAATTTTGCACATTCAGTAATATTGCTCTATGTCATGATTATGACTAACTTTTATATGCTTATCAAGTTAATAATACTTTTTTACATTAACATTTACCATAAAATATAGTGATATATTTTAGAATAACATATAATTATATAAGTTATAATGCATTTTAATTTTATTTAGATTGAATGTTGTGATTAAATTATTGAGTTAATTATTATGATTGAATTATTTATATATAACACATAGACTCTCTCTCTAATTTTCTGACTTCTTTAAATCAAACTTTATTGGTATGATCTATATATAAGTATTATTTAACAATATATTCTACAATTCATATAGGAGAAAGGATAGTCATAGTAAAGAGATTGTCTGTAATAGTTTTATATATAAAACAAGACTAACTTTCATATACATTTACATGTTTTTTTTATGTATATTCTTATGTAAGTACATACACTTAAGTAAATTAATTGGTATAATGGACTGTGTTCTATAGTTTCAAAATATTTCCTCAATTACTTCAATAAAATAAAGACAAAGGCTGTGGTCTTTTGGTTTTATGATATTTTAAATATTTTATAATACTTACAATGTTTATTATGATTTATATGATAATTTGAGCTGATATATCTGAACGTGCAGAGAATACAACTGATACAATCTTGTTATAAATTTCATTGAAATTTTGAAATAATTTATATACATTATTTTAAAAATGATTTATAAAACAATTATATGTCGAAGATTATGTTTCGATCCCAAAATTGGGTAAAAACATGTTAATAAATATAGTTGTTGAAAACGTCATCTTGCAAGATTGGAAAAGTTGGAAGCAGTTGATTTGAAAAAATACATTGTTTACATAGGAGAAATAATACACTTTTGTATAACACTTTATGATAACAATAATAACTTCAACTTAAAATTATCTTGCTTTGTAGGATAAGTTGATGGGGAAACTATTTAATCTAAAGGACCAACTGGGTTGTAGCCTGATGGTAGAGTATTATGAATCCATCGTCAAAGAAAACTATAAGTATTTTGAATTGCTCTACCACTAGATGATGATGAACTTTGTTGTTCTGTAACGTTGTTTTGTTGTTCCAGTCTTTCCAGTGATTCTGTACGTGTTCTTATAGAACCACCATATGTGCGTACCTGTACATTAACATATACACATTTATTATGTTTAATTTAATTAAGTTATATTTTATCTTAAATTTTCTGGATTTGTAAGAAAATTCTATATAGTAATAAATTAATTATTCGTCCTTTCAGCTATTAAGATGAACCAGAAATTTTAAGAATACTGTACACATAAAAGCGAGCTCCTTGTCCCACGGTCATATTTATTGAGCACCATTGTCTCTTATATTAATAAAACTCTTTAATACTAAGAGTTATAGATGTATTTCAATTTTGAGAATTGTTTCCAATACTAATTACATATATATATATATTTAATTCGATTATGTTAAATTTCCACATTCGGATTGAAAGTTTGGTAATATATATACATTTGACGTGAAATTAATAAAAAGATATTATAAATAATAAAACAGTAACATTAATTTAAAAAGCAATTATTCTAACTAAAATAATAAAATTGTAAGTATGGCAACCTTGCATCAAAATTTATTTTGAAGGTAAGACAACAATTTTTTTTATAAATCATAACAAAAGAAATAGTAAATATATTGAATTATTGAAGAAATATTCTCATAGAAAATCCTTGATTTTAAAACACGATTTAAAAAAAAACAAATGAAAGAAAATATATTCACATATGTAGTATAAATGATCATTTCTGTATGTATGTATGTATATATGTATACAGAATATACAGTATATATGTATATACATGTATACAGAAATGATAACTTATACTAAAAAGTATATTTATATACAGTGATAATTAAATATTTATAAAATAATCCGAATATGGACCTACATGAAGTATTAAAAATTGATACCTTTATAATGATATAAATATCAATTTAGTATGGTATATATCACCAGCTGTACAAAAAATGGGTGCATCATTTTATTTATTTACTCACTGTCTGTAGATTAGACTTCAGACTGTGGGTGTTAGCCACTCGCGTTCACTCAAGAGGAGTTAGACTTCCACTGCTGACTCTTACTTCTCTTGGCTCTGGAGCAGCTGGGGGTCTCCTTTCTTGTAACTGTTGTTGATTTATTCCAGATGCATTATGATGTCCTGACCGTGTTGCATCAGTCGCCACAACAAATTCTGTGAGAGTGACATCTGCTGTTCCACCGGATTCAAGAGGTATGGCATTTCGACGAAAGTGTTCAAGCATATCATATATAGCAGGAAAACAAAGATGCTGAACACGACAATGTCCCTGATCGTTTAATGTCATACGCAAATGCTGCAGTAAAGGTGAAAAATGAAATTTTTTAGACGACTATAATTAAATCTAAAATAATATAATTAAAGGAAATAACATATTACCTTTGCTCTGCCTTGAAAATTAAAAGTTAATACAAATTCCCCTTTTCTTGTTTCACTTTGTCGAACAAGAAATACACCATGACCATTAGCAGCACTATGTAAAACGAGCTGTGCTGCGTCTGATCTAGGGAGGGTCCCATGAAACCATGGATATTCTCTTAAACTGCTAGATAAATCTAATTCACCATCATTTGCATTCACTACAACAAAATTGAATTATTTATAACATACAAGCTATATGATCTTAAAAAGTACTTATAAATAAATTTATCATACTTTGTTCAATATCTTGTTGTGATGAACATAATTCCAGATTACTATTACTTCTTATACGTAGTCTAGGAGGTATTTCTGGAGGGTTGCCACCTATTTCATCTCCATGTTCATGGGATGTAGATCGGGAACTTTTACTTGTAGAATTAGTTCTTAATCTATCTCCTTCACTACCAATAGCTAATGAACCATGTCCTAAGGAATCTCCAGTAACATCTGTTCCAGAACTAGGATTAACAGAATTTTGTTGTACTGTGCGCATACAATATTTGATAGTAGCTAACCATGATCTCATATCATTTGAATCATGAGCTTCTATTACAAATTCCATATTTTGTGTTTTTAATACAAAGGTATTTTCATGATCTGGCATTTCTAATGCAGTTGTTTCCCTGGCTTCAGTTATTGCAGAACAAAAGACACCACTACGTGGTTTTACTGCTTTTGGAGGAGAATAAAATTCTAACATATATCCACCAATTGCTTTTATTAAGGCAAGTCTAGATTTCTCCCATTTTTGAGTTCCATCAATATTTTCTCCCATTAAGGAATTAACAATGCCTTCTTTTCTACATTCCACCACAATCTTTGAAAGTTTAGCTTTTGAATGCTTATCTCTACGATGTTCACTATGAGATAACTCCACTTCATCACTTTGCTGCTTATGGAAGAAGCTTTTGCCCTTCTTAAGCCCTTTAAAGGATAAGCGGCGGAAAAATGGTTTGTGTGCAGGCTTTGGTGATATTGCATCTCCATCATGTTCAGAATAATCACTGAATTCTTCATGAGATGATATACGAATAGGAGCATTGTTGTTTTGGCTTACAACATTAACATCTCTATCATTACTTGCTATATGCCTTGTGTCATACAAAGATGGTGATCTGGCAAAGTAATTAAAAAGATTTATAAAATTTTTATACATTATTTTCATAATAGTGTACATATTTCAATGACTTAAAAAAGTTATAAAAGCAAACAGAATGTATCTTATTACGGCATACCTAATCGTACGACGTAGGTATTCGCTTTCAAAGTGTTCACAAAAGCTTTCGACAAATTTTCTTAAAAAATCACGATGGGAAAGATTCGATCTTGCACTTTCTGGTAAATTTAAACTGACGTAGGTACAAAAGGCTTTAGCAAAATCAGAAGCCGAAGCGCGGGCGTGTCTCTCACAAAATTCTATCCAACCAGGTGCAGCTTCAGGCGACACGGCAACCGCCGG